AGTCGAGGAAAAATGCAATATGAAAGCAATAGCTAAACAAATACTATATACAATATATACTAATACTTTATATACTATATATTAAAACGTTGAAATGCGATAAATTTACTGCGTATAAATAATTCACTTTATTAATATTGGAATCAATTAGTAGCGAGCTTATCGGAACTGGAGGGTTGGATGAAAAGCGTATAATACAACAACAGCAGCTAATCAAATGCATTTTTGTACTTCGTAACTATGTAATAATGTAATAATTGTATGGACTTAATTAGCTCTTCATTTGGAGAGCTGCACCTGCTCTAAGCGCTGCACTTCAGCTCAACTACACGTAGTAACTAACCTAACCTAACCTAAATATTTAATGACCTACTTTATTTCCATTAATTTTTTTATTTTTGTAGAAGAGGAGTTCTTTACAGTTTAGAAATTTTTCAAAGATTAGACATACATATCTATATATTTGTAATAAGTTTTACTTTAGATTTAGTTGCAAAGATGTTCGAAAATAATTTCAAATATATTATTCACACACTTTTAAAACTATTTCGAGTTAGTTTCATCATCATCTGAAACCTAACTTAAACAAATTTATTTATTGCATGCGATAACTTTTTGTAATAATTTTGAGATTTTTTTTAAGATACACGAAAATACTAATTCCGAAAATGAATCTACATCCACCGTCTGAAAATTTCATTTATCACATGCGACTTTTTAAAAAACTTTTGCATTTTTTTTTAAAGATTTTTCCGATATTAACCAAAATTTCGAATATCAACCGATTCTGCTGATATTATCACATTTATAATTATTTTTGATATAATTTCATTAAGATATATAAAGCTCAGAATAATCAAATCGATTTTATTTATCGCATGCAACTTTATTTATTTTAAATACATTTTGAAAAAAAGAATCACACTTTCAAACAAATTTCATTTCAGCCAATTTAATTTATCAATGCTATTTTTTTTTATGAATCAATTTTGAAGCGAAAACTAGGTCATTATATGTTTTCAAGCCCATCACAAAAATAATTAACTGTTATTGATGTTCAAGCAACTTCTTTCAATTTCTGATTGCATATTTTGTAAACAACAACAATAAACAAGTATATACATATATATAGAGGGATGTGAACCAATCCAATATCTCTGGGTGCAGTCTTGCATATGTATAAATATGCATGTATCTGTATATATGCCTATTTATCTTCTGCTTATTTTTAGAACATTAGTAAATACAAGAAAATTGAACGAGAAATGCAAAAAGAAAATGCAGACGAATGCACATCAGTCCAACAAGAAAATGTACAGGTGTCACTTAGTGTACATATGTATGTTCATCAACTTGTATGCATAAGTATGTACCTGCTTGTTATAAGACAGCTCGGCTCAGTAGGTTATACGACGTGGAAAAGCCAACAAAAAGAACAATAAATACAATGCCTACTGCATTGTTTACATACACTTGTAACGGGCAGGGCACGAGCTTCTCACACACGTATACATACATATATATAAATGTGCATACATATGTATGTATGTACACACGTAAATATAATTGCATTTGACGTAAAGTTGCGGCCACGTTATGGTGAATTTCATTGCCAACGTAGCAAATTGATAATACGGCGCTGTTGATGGCGATATTAATTATTCTTTGCCAATTTCGTTGATGACGGTAAAGCACTTGGCCTCCAAGTGTAAGTTTTAAAATTCGATACTGATGTCTGTATGTTTATATAAATATTTTTGTGCTGGCTATAAATAAAAAAATTTTGTATGTGTGCGTGTGTGTGTGCTTATGTATGTCAGTAAACCACCCACTCACCACTGACTGACAGTCGACAAATTAGCTTTAACTGTGCATATTTACTAGCGCTGACGTCAAATACACGCATGCGTGCACATCGCGGCTCTTTCGTCATTCATAAAAATCACCTGCCAACATAACAAGAATCAAACTAAATAAATTTGCTTAAGCCGAGGTGTGTTGTTCAAGGTTTGGTGGAAGAGTGAACAGAGGAAATTAAATGTAAAAAAAACATTAATAAATAACAGAAAACTAACAGAATAAGTATGTATATAAGTATGAAAATAAATAAATAAAATAATCTATGTAAAATAAAATTCATAAAAATTAA